GCGCAATACAATGAACCCGGATTTATACTAGGAATAGCTCAATGTATGAGTTTCTTGGGAGATATGTTGAAGCAGTGATCTATTATACAATAAAAGCGTGGTAAATGAGTCAAGGAACCAGAGGGATCAGATAAAGGTTAAAGGAAATGCAGTTTTTGTACCCATTTTGGGGGAGTCACTTTTCCACCCAAACTGACAGCAATCCATCTCAGCTCCTCCCCTTACTTCTGTATCTCAGCAAAAAACATAGCGTGATAATAATATCAATACAAACCACATCCTTTGAGCTTAGAAGATAAAATAGTGTCTAAGACACTGTCTAGCACAAATTGTACTTGTTGTGTATCAGTCGCGCAGGTCAGATGAGTGTAGATTGACTTCTCTTTGTTTTCATTTGCAGCCATAAATTGCGATTCTATATATTTGGCAGCTTCATCGTAATTTTCACCACCTGGAAAAATATCTTTAGCAAAAACGCTCAATTTTTACACTCATAGCAACAGAGCGTATCGTTTAAGTGAGAATTTTTTGTTTTTTTTTTCATTTTGCACTGATGACTATTTTAATTTTCATGATGCAGAACTGAGCAAAAGCATGGAAAACCTTTTGTATAGGTTTATCAAGTCAAAGAAGAATAAAAACTTTAATTGTTAAATAAGTTTCGTATCAAACTTTTTGGAAAGTCGTTCTAAAAATGATTTGAGACCTTCTCAATTTCTTTACTCAGGTTTCTTTATATATGCTTGTACGTCTAGAAGATGCATGATCTCTTTTTCCTTAATTTAAAGAATCAAACGATTTAGCTGAAGCTGGAAAAGGTAATGTTTTCAGAAATTTTGGATTAAATAAATCTTACACTATACCACTACACCTTTGCTTTGAATATACTCACCCTTATAGTTCGGAAATGCAATTCTTAATGATTTCCCATGTCCTATTTTCTTCTCGAAGAGATCCTTCTTATTGAGAAATAGAATAACAGAAGTGTTAATAAAATATTTATTATTCACAACTTGACGAAATAGTTGCAATGATTCCTGCATTCTATTCTGAAATTATGATATTACTTACACTGGATTCAAAGCATTCAATGGAGTATTCATTTTCAAGATTCAAGGCTCACCGTTGTATCGTCTTCCATCAATACTTGATCATATTCACTTAACGAAGCAACATAAATCACTGCTTTCGCATCATCAAAACAATGAATCCACTTCTTTCGTTGTGACCGCTGTCCGCCAACGTCGAAGACTCTAAAGGTTTTGCATTGATGCGTGAAATCAGAACTTCTGAGTTTCTCAACACGTTGGCATAGGAAGTTTGAGACTCGAGAACCTTCTGTTCTGCACGATACGAAGACTTCAGATTCAATCTTTACCGCTGTCTGTACATCTAGCATCTACTTTTCAATCATTCAAATGCCTTTGGAGCATCGATCATCCTTCTCGTTTGTGGGAAACAGATTATTTCAAATTCAAATATATGTCTCATTGATCTCAGTGCGCCAAATAGAGAGTATATATCCAAAACCTAGATTTCTGTTGGGAAAAAACAATACTGCCAAAATAAGCCTCTGTTTTACGAATGATAAGGAATAGAGCAAGATAACATACCTCCATAATTTGTTTTTCATGGTAAACGAGACTTCAATGACACCCATTGTAGCAATTCGCGTCCGTAATATATCTTGTTCGGTTGGCACAAAATTTTTGTCATATATTCGATCCAGTGAGTCGAGGAAGCTGAAAGTGATGCATGTTTCACACCACAAAAAACCACGTGAGCATTAATATTGGCATTGAAGAATGTGATAATCCATGTATCGACGAATGTTTTGATTTTTTTGCCAAATAATACTTGTTACTTACTATTTTGCAGAGTCATGAAGATAGAATTCATCTCTTCGTTCATAAGCTGCTTCAATACCTTTGTCGTTCCATAATGTCTTTATCGCTCTGGAAGAGCAAATGAGAGATTTGAAAAAGTGTATAGGAAATAGCTTACTTGTACATCTCCTCGCTCAGCGGTTGGAATTCCTCTTTCTTCTCTAAGGTCTTCTTCACAAGGGCAGCGTATTCCTAAACGATGATTATTCATACTCATATGAATTGCTTTCTCTTCATGCTCAGAACAATTGTATTGACAACTGTGAATTTCAGACTTGAACAAATACGCGTGAGCAAACTGGAGCTCCGTAGAATTTTTTATAACGCAAAATTTGGTCTGGTTGACACTTTTCAATACTGCTTTTTAGCCTCGCTGAAGCAGACCTTACGCAAATTTGTAAAAATCCTCTTTTAAAATTGGTTTTGTTTCATCGGATCCCATTGCAGCCAAGGAGACAGATTTTCTTTATCGTACACAACTTTTGGGACAACCTCATACATTACACATGACGAAAATGTTCAAGATATAGGCGATTCGTAGCACGCAAAGACTGCGGACATACCGGCGTCTCCTTGATCGCGCACTCTTTCGTTTCTCTGACCGTCTGCCGTCTCTC